TTAATAAGTGATTTGTTGATTGACTGGGAAATTAATCATAGCAACTTCCATCCATCCATCCATCTTCTCCCGCTTATCAGTGGTCGGGTCGCGGAGGTAGCAGTTCCAGCAGAGAGCCCCAAACTTTCTTTTCCCTGGCCACATCAACCAGCTCTGATTGGGGGATCCCAAGGCGCTCCCAGGCCAGCGAAGAGATATAATCCCTCCATCTGGTTCTAGGTCTACCCCTTGGTCTCTTCCCAGCTGGACGTGCCTNGTGTGCCTTGGGCAGTCTCCGCGACCCGACCACTGATAAGCGGGAGAAGATGGATGGATGGATGGATGGAAGTTGCTATGATTAATTTCCCAGTCAATCAACAAATCACTTATTAAAACACTACGGTGCTTATGCCACTTTCCTGTTGCCATTTAAATTATTTTTTATTGTACTGTTGCCGGTATTATTATCATCATTTTATTTTTTGAAATCTATTTAGTATGCCATACAGAGGAACACATAGTCAGATTTTTGCTGATTTATCCAAAACTGACTCAAAACAAAAAAATAACGTAACATGCATCATGTTTCTATAAAAGTATAATCGTCAAGCTCAGCTGCAACTGAATATTAAGTTCTGAGATTTGATACTTCTTACCTAAACACTAAGACTGTCCACATGTTTGAATCTTTGACTTTTTATTCAAAGAAGCTTTGATGCCCCACTTGCCAGTCACTCAACATTATCTATGGCAAACATGGATTCTCTTTCTTATTTATTAACCCTTCGCAGAAGAATCCAGGAGCCACCTCATCTTCATCCTCTCTAGTTTTCTACCTCTTCATATCGAGATTCTGCTGGAAATGGACTTCCCTTTTTTGCACACGATCTGTCCAACATCATGCATGAGACTGCACGTAAACAAAAAGAGAAACTGTGGTTTGGTTAGGTCTTGTTACGCGCGCGCGCGTGTGTGTGTGTGTGTGTGTGTGTGTGTGTGTGTGTGTGTGTGTGTGTGTGTGTGTGTGTGTGTGTGTGTGTGTGTGTGTGTGTGTGTGTGTGTGTGTGTGTTTCATGGTATGTCTTTGCTTCTTGCTGTAATATCTTAGCCAATTCTGCCCTGCAAAAACATAATCTTGAAAAGGTTTTAGTCATGGAGTTTTCCAATCAAGGCTCTTCTTTCACAATAATGTAGGCTTTATTAAAGGCTTTATCATTTGCTTTATTGGCATTGATATGCATTCTCAGATTTTAAAGTTGGGTGACTCATCTAAGAAGCCGAGGAGCCACCAGCCCCTCCTCATCCTCTCTAGTTTTCTACATCTTTGTGACCTGCGTCTCCTCTGCCTGGAAATGGACTCCACCTGCAGCCCTGGTTTTGCACACGATCACTTCTACTATCTGTCTGCAAAACCACGAGTGAGACTGCACGTGAACGAAAGAGAAAGAGTGGGTTGGTTAAGCCTGATTACAGTCATATGTGTGTGTGTGTGTGTGTGTGTGTTTGTGTGTGTGTGTCGTTGTCACCTGCAGACAGGGGTAAAAGATAAATGCTTTCTTTCAGCCTGTGTGGCAGGTAGAGCACAAAGAATAATTAGATTTCTCCTCCCGTCTCCCTGATGTCTTCCCACTCTCCGTTTTCTCATCTGCCTGAAAATCATCTGCTCAACCCTCTTTGTTTCCAAAAAAATAAACTCTTCCACCTTCCCAAAATCCAAACCATAAAACACAAAACATTTGCATCAGAGAACACAAACTGTTCTCTGTGTTTCTGCGCTCAGGTCAGGAGGATGTTGCAAGAATGTGGCAACAACAAGAAATTGTCTCTGGCAAACCGCTCAACCTAAACCCAGCAGGCCGTTACCATGCCAACCATATGGGATGTTAGCCCACCTTGTGACGGCGCCCGAGATGATGGACGATCAGCGCCCCCCTCCCCTCTCTCTGGGGGTGTGGTCCTATGTGGGCTGGTCAATGGAGTCTGGAGGAGGAAAAGAAAGAGAAAAATAAGTTTGTGCTTAACAGTGCATGTTCATCAGAGGATATTAATGAATAACAAGCAGCATTATTAATCAGCGGCCCGAAGACTCGTGCACAGGAAGCTGCGTTAACGGCTTAATGAGCAGGAGGGAGTCGACGTGCTTTTGTCTTCATTGTGGCAGCACGCGTACAGTGGAAACACACCATGGCTCCTGTGCATTTGCATTAACACACATACTGCTTCCACAGCCAGACCAACTGCTGACACACATACACACACGAAAAAGGGATGTTGAGACAAGTTTTACAGGAAGCCAAACCGAAGAAACCTGAAAGCAACGACTCCACAATTCAGCCAATTTGCTTTAACAATCAAATGTAAAAGAGAGTGCTTTTCCACTAAATGTCCTGATCCATACAACTTGATTTAAACGTCAAGCCTTTATTGGCAAATATCTCTCATGCTTTGTGGACTCGGAGCAAGATTACCAAAACAGACTATTAGGCTAAATCACCGCTCTAATCCCAAAAGCACATAATAGGCTAATTTGTGTCCATTTCGATCCTGATAAGAAACAATGTGTGTGAGTGTGAGTGAGTGTGTGTTCTGGCCATGCAGAGTTGTTGCTCAAGTGTCTGTCTGAACAATCATAAGAGTGTGTCCCTTGGGGGTAAAGAGTGCGTAACCATGGAGAATGCTGGGCGTTTCCATGACACCCTGTCATCAGTGGAGCACGCTGCCAGTATGTCTCATGTTCATCTGTCACTGTGTGCGTGCGTGTGTGTGTGTGTGTGTGTGTTTGTGTTTGTGTTTGTAAATAATATGTGTGTGTGTGTGTGTGTTTGCATGCTGGCATGATAGGGGTTACTTTAATGTTTATTACCAGCATGTGTGAGAGCGCGTGTGGTTTGGTTTATAAGTACATATCTGGACACGCCTATACGCGTGTGTGTGTGTGTGTGTGTGTGTGTGTGTGTGTGTGTGCGTGTGCGTGTGTGCGTGTGTGTGTGTGGCGGACTAAATGCCCAGCTTGCCGATGTTGTACAGTATATGTTTACATGTGTGTTTGTGTGTGTGTATGTGTTAGTGCACAATTCACCGTCAGTGACCTGACCGCTGGCTGCACCCATGATTGGGAGCAGATGGGGGCTGTACGTGTGTGTGTGTGTGTGTGTGTGTGTGTGTGTGTGTGTGTGTGTGTGTGTGTGTGTGTGTGTGTGTGTGTGTGTGTGTGTGTGTGCGGACTAAATGCTGAGACTGCCAAGGCACACNGTTGCTGCCGGAGCCTAAGAAACTCCACCGGCGGTCATACGATGGCTTAAGATGCCCTCACGAATGTCCCGATGTTGCTACGATCAGAGCTGAATTTGAATTCAAATTCAGCTCTGATCGTAGCAACATCGGGACATTCGTGAGGGCATCTTAAGCCATCGTATGACCGCCGGTGGAGTTTCTTAGGCTCCGGCAGCAACTTCGTGAGCGGTGGCAAAAATCTTTGGCATGCTAAAAAATTGCCCAAGGACCTTGCGAAGGTTCATTTTCGTGTTGAATTTGTGTGTCAATCTTGCCATTCGTAAGGCCATCGTGAGGGCATCGTGAGGGCATCTTGTTATCATCGGTGCCATCGGGCATTCGCCTCGATCAGAGTGAGGGTGAATGCACCGATGATAACACGAAGATGACACGACTTGACAAGATGCCCTCACGAGTGCCTTACGAAGTTGCTGCCGGAGCCTGAGAAAGTCCACCAGCGGTCATACGATGGCCTAAGATGCCCTCACGAATGGCCCCATGTTACTACGATCAGAGCCGAATTTGAACATTTCCTTTATCGTGTGTCCATCGGGTGTCAACTTTGGGACAGTGTGACAGGGGCTCTAGGAGTAGTCAACTAACAAAGGTTAACTGTTTTTATAACCTGAGGCCTTCTCTGAACTTCCTCTAACCTCGGTGTCAGCTCACTTAAAATTAATACACCCATTGATAATTCAGAACGACCACTGTCGCTCTAACTCTGGGTGACCCAACTCAGTAACACACATAGCTTACCATCCATCCATCTTCTCCCGCTTATCCGTGGTCGGGTCGCGGGGGTATCAGTTCCAACAGAGAGCCCCAAACTTTCTTTTCCCTGGCCACATCAACCAGCTCTGACTGGGGGATCCCAAGGCGCTCCCAGGCCAGCGAAGATATATAATCCCTACCCCTTGGTCTCTTCCCAGCTGGACGTGCCTGGAACACCTCCCTAGGGAGGCGCCCAGGTGGCATCCTAACTAGGTGCCCGAACCACCTCAACTGGCTTCCACTCCGAGTCCCTCCCGGATGACTGAACTTCTCACCTTATCCCTAAGGGAGACACCAGCCACCCTGCGGAGAAAACCCATCTCGGCCGCTTGTACCCGCGATCTCGTTCTTTCGGTCATGACCCATCCTTCATGACCATAGGTGAGGGTAGGAAGGGAAATGGCCCGGTAGACAGAGAGCTTTGCCTTCTGGCTCAGCTCCCTTTTCGTCACTACGGTGCGGTAAAGAGAATGTAGTACCGCTCCTGCTGCTCCGATTCTCTGACCCATCTCACGCTCCATTGTTCCCTCACTCGAGAACAAGACCCCGAGATACTTGAACTCCTTCACTTGGGGTAAGGACTCATTCCCTACTTGGAGTGGACAGTCCATCGGTTTCCTGCT